ACTCCTTTACCTCGCTGAGCCAACAATAAAAGCGGGTAAGGAGGAAAGGTCGGGTATGAGGCTAGCAACCACATCCTATAAAATAAACACTGTTACAGAAACTCCAAGCCTCTAGCTTGAAGCCCTATGTTCCACTGGGAACGTGAAGGGATAAAAAAATATATTTATCAGCTGCACTAGGCAATTAAAAGAAGATTTCGCTGAGAGATTCCTTCCCTTACCGTAGGTCAACGTTTTAGCCTTATGCATACACAGAATGCAGCAGTTGATATCTAAATAAATAAGATACAGGCTTAAAGATTACTTGAACAATTGAGAGAGACAGAGAGGTTTGAGAGATAATAGCTTAATTCCAAATCAGTACTTGTGATACAGAATGGAATTCTCAGCATTTTACTACAATATTGCATCCAGTTAGTACATTAACAATAAATATAGTTCTACATAGATTAAGGTTATCTCAGTCAGTTTTGACAACAACATATTAGCATGTCGGTAGCAAAGCCGAAATTTTAAACAGAGTGTTTGAAGGTGTTAGAAAAGAAGATACTACTAGCATATTTACTGGCGTAAGCGATAGCAAAATGGACGAGATATACAGAGTGTGAAAGAACGAACAAGAATGTTTTAAGTAGAGTTTGTAAGGAAGAGAGAAACAAAACAGCACATAACAAAAATAAATAGGGAATGAAAAAAAGTAGAGAGAAAATGTTGTACCTATAAATGATGTGACTTGGAAAGACGAGATCCATTTGTTCTACTGACTATTTAATAAGTTATAGGTATCACGCCTAATGCTTTCTTTATCGCACAGAATACGAGCTAGGTAGGGTATGGATGAGTTTTTGTACTTGCTAGTGCGGGCATATAGTTTCCTATATAGGCTTCTGGTTTTCCCTGAAGAGATACATGGGGAGAGTTGTGAATGTAAAGGGTGATGTGAGTCAGATAAAATGGTTTTTGCCCATTTTTCACATGAGTCCATATGCCTGTCCACCAGAATATTAACAAGCTGGCTAAGTGGCACATTGCTTACCCTGCTGACAACCTTTAACATCCTACGTAATAAGGTATAGTCTTTCTTCAATCGCCCAGGAAAGACTAAAGGGGAACAATAGAGAATAATAGGCAGAATACGGAAGTTAACAAATTGTAGGAGTAAGGGTTGGGTTACACCAGAAAGTCTTAACTTCTTGATGTAGAAGGTAAGACGGAATATTTTCTTGGAAATCGTCAAGATATGAGACGACCAGGAAAGATCAGAAGATAGAGTGAGGCCTAGGTATTTAACTTCCGACTTGGTTTCAATCTCAGTGCCATCTATGTTGCACACCTCGTGAGTCCTAACCAGTTTGTTTAGGTTAGATTTGTGCCTAAAGGTGAAATTAACTGTTTGGCATTTGGAGGGGTTTAAGATGAGACCGTTTTCCTTGGACCATTGGCTGATTTCTGATAAGAAGCCATTTAGTTTAGAGCAGTCACTTTGACATTTTACAGGTAAAGATACAGTTAGGTCATCAGCATATTTGACAAAGTTAATGTCATTTGAAGATGGTAGCAATAAATCCTGTCATATACATCTGACTCATAGTTGATTAAGTCCCGGTAATGGTTTAAAACCGAGATGATGATATTAGCAAACAGAGAGGAGCAAATGTACCTTATTAGACAACTTACTGGTTACACAGTAAGTCGATAGAGGTTCATCAGCAGAACATAGCATTACCAATTAATGAATGCTAAACATTGTTTAGTAAAATATTTATTGATTTTCTGACTGTACTACGACTAAAGGTTATTGATGTTCACTACGAAAGTGAATCGATTCCACCAGAGGCAAAATGATAACAGCGAAGGAAGATAGTGTTTACCTTCATTCAGTTTACCAGCTGCTTGCTAATATAATAACCAGACATACACATATTACTGCTCATGCTTTACATTGTAAAAGTTCAAGCATAGTTTTACAATGTCTTGTAGGTCAATCCCAGTCAGTTTATATGAGAAAAAAAAAATAGCGCCTTCCTAGTGTGTTCTTTACATGGTTAGCCACAAGGATGGGTAAATACGGATAATTACAGTAGACTACATTAGAAACTAGTTGTTTTCTATAAACTGAATATTGAAAACTTGTTTGACTTCCATCAGTTTAGGCCCTACAGTAGCTATAATCAACTTGTACTATATCCCAAGATATTGGAAAGGCTGAATAGCCAGTAGGATTAATCATGCTTTTAGCCAAAAAGAATCTCGGTAACGCGCAAAAGCGTTTTTGGTGCATTCACCTGTTAAGTTGCTTTTCCAGGAATAACAGGCGATAACCATTTCATCCGTTGATCTTAGCCTCGCCCCCTCTCCTCAATAAAACTTTCTGATTACACTGCGACGATATCTAACTGTGATATTAAAGAAAGGATAAAACTTTACTTCATTTCAACCTGAGCATTTTACATTAAGTACAGTGTTATGGTTTCCAAACTGCACACAATAAACAGTCGACTGGTTCAGGTAAAGTGATAACCACACACACACATTTTACCATCTAGCTAAATTAGGAAATGTGTATTAAACTCAGGAAATGACTGAGAGCATATACTGAAAATTGAATTCTACAACAGAAGCACAGTAACAGACATACTCTGACACACACACTCAAATTTTGAAAACTAAATTACATTTGAAATCAAACTCAGTCATTCATCCCTGGTATTATTGTTATTAATAGTAGTAGTAGTAGTAGTAGCAATAGTAGTAGAAGTAGCCCAAGGCAGACACATTCTATGTTGAGATGAATAACAATGAACAGCCCTACTGGTCATGGGTAAATCGAACCCTTAATTTTTTTTTATTAAAAAAGCAGCATATAAGAGTCATGACATACACGCTAACTAAGAACACATCCTACAACAAAGCGCATCTCATTGAATGTTGGGCCATATATATGTCCGTTTGTTGTCAGTGTTTTTGTACTTGTGGCCATTATAATAATATCAGACCTGTGTCGTTTTCTACAATTTGATCTGTGATAGACCTCTGATTGTAGGTATGCATGAATGTATGTGAATCTATGCGTATGTGAGTGAGTGTGTATGTATGCTTGGGTAATTGTGAGTGTATGAACACTCTCCCTTTTCTGTTATTATTGTTTTCTCTCATTGACATCCTTTAAAATTCGATATGAGTCCCTTACGGACTTGTCCGCCTCTATGTATTACCTTACGCTATTGATGCTCTCTGTACTTCATCAACATAATTGTCATCATCTTCGTCTTTCTCATCTGCCTTAAATGGATAAACATAAACACATGTCTAAACACACACACACACGCAAACACACGTGAACACATTTACATATACACAAGTCAATACAAACAATCCACATATATATTTTGGGAAAAATGAACACTGAGACAGACACTTGCCAAATATGCCTATATATATATATATAAACAATAGCAAACAGACACACGAGTGTACAGACATGCAAATCAGCTTAGTTATCCTATGCCACAAAAATTAATTTCAAAATCAAAAATTAAGTGAATTCAAGGAGAGAAGTGTGGAGAATGATGAAGAGTCTGATTTGATTTTGTTAATCATAGCAGAAGTTTATCGAACCAGTTGGAAAAGGATTAAATTATTTCCCAAGATTATATGATTTAGGCCCTTATCAAGTGTATTATATCCATTAAAATTTGGTTGATTCCTACACTTCTCTTTTGGATATTTGATAAAAAAAACAACAACACTGCAAGTCATCATTGCTTCCGTTAGACAACGAACCCAGTTGAAATTTGCCTTCACAATTATCACATCTTCATAGACATGCTTTCTCCACTACTTTTAAACATTACTGATATAACGAGAAGAGTTGTCAACTTTTAGTTCCTTCAAAAACCGAACAACCGCCTTTAACAACAGAAAAATCAGAAAAGAAAGAAGGCAGGAAGACACCTTGAAGGAATAAAAGCCCACTGGAATAATTATTCTCATGCCCACCTAATGTTTTCATGTTCTGTATACTATCTCCACTATCTTGTACATATTTGTACTAACATACCCTATGAATCCAATGTACACTGATCTTGCCTGTTCAAACGTATCGATATTATTGACTGATTGGAATTTTAAAAGACAAATTAATCTAAATGAATGTAATGTCACGTAAAAACTGTTTCTTGATTACAAGTAGTAAAAATCACTGCTACCATTGTTCGGAAGAATAGCAGCAACAGCAGAAGCGGTAGGGATATTGGTGCCAGTGGCGATTTAGAGTACTACTGACATCAGCATCAAAAAGACAGACTCTGTCTCATTCGCTTGCTCTTGCTCTCCCTAATTCCCTTCCTCTTACATAACTACACTTCATAGTTAACTGAATGTATGCCCTGAAATTCTGCATCCTCAAATCTATAAATCAACTGTAACTTTGATTTAACTAACCAACTAATCAAGGATTAATTACAAATTTTAAATCTCATTTCTGATTCAACGTTTAGTGGATTGTAAGCATAACGAATTTAAGCTTACACAATATAAGTGAGATATTAAAACTAAAGGAAGCATCGTAGAAACTAATTCAGAAGAAGCGGACAGTATTCATCTGATTCCTTGTATAAAATGAACAGTTTTCTGAGACAGTGTTCAAAGGATACTTACATCATCGTATACGTCAAATCGAGGTTTTTGTTAATTCAGCCACCCTTGTATTCTATTCATACATTCAAATTAGCTCAGCTATACAGACGTACTCACTAACTAACTTGACTTTCATATATCATCAACAAATAAACTAACTCAACCGAATTATTTCATCCTTCTTTGCCCAAAATAAAAGTCTCACTCTATAGCATACTGGATTTTGTTATAATTTAAGAAGAAATTAACAGTTGTACTTAATTTCTTGCAAGTTATTATTACACACACACACCAGACAAAATCTGTTTGCTAACCAGGAGATCACAGTCTCCATCTAGTGATTTAATAAACTACACCATATCATGGCACGTGGAGCTGGAGGTCTATTAGATGGTGGATTTGTATTCAAATTGGGAAGATTATTCAAAACTCCATATGGTGGTGAAGGTGTCGATTTTATTGATCAATTAAATTATCAATTTACTGGTGGACTAATGGTTATATTTATAGCAATTATCAGCTTACGACAATATGTTGGTGAGTAAATTAATTGTGCTTTTATTTTATTTTTCATTTTCTACCTTATAAACAAAATATTGGTTGCTTAATTTTAAAAATTAAAAGAAAGAACTACTTCATGATTTATTGTTTTTTTAAACTCTGAGTTTATTTTAACATTTAATAATAACTTGTTCAGCTTTCAGTAATACTGCCTGCATTCGTAATAATATTCGTATAAGTATGAAAGTGAGTTCGATTGCATTGATTCCCGTGACTGATTATAGCTGTACATCTAGATAATGATGAATAACTCGTTTACTAGTCAGATATTGTTTTCTGTCCCAGTGGCTGTAACCTGAAAGTCCTGGATCCGACCCCTGGTGGGGTCATAACTGATCGTTGTTGAAGAGTCCCAGACAGGAACGAAACAGCTTTCCAGTACTCTATGGTCCTCAGTGGTTCTTTATCTGAGGTCAACTCGTGATCAACATTGAAATCAATTAAATCACTGAAAACCAACGATTGAAAGAGGAATAACTTCACAATACTCAGACCAAAATTTACGCTTACGGAACTTTCTTACTTATAATCTAAAAAGTATCGTTTATTTTGTATTTTTTTATAAATACACTTAGTTCGATAACAGTGTAAGCCGTCTAGCAATCAGATGTACTAGTCTTGTCTTTAAATTTAAGACTCCTGGTTGTGCAAATAGCTATATGCCTTCAAATAGTTTATAACTAATAAATCGGTCCCTATTCCATACCTCCTATAATTTACCTCCAATAAATGTAAGAACAGTTTTCTAACAATTTATCGGATCATTAACTGTGGCTTGGAGTTGTACTGAGATCGGATATAATGACTTCGGAATAAACAGATCGACGTATAGGCTAAATGATCGACATGTTTTTACTTTTATAATAATATTCACAAAATTCACAATATTCCATATTTTTGAGAAAGAAAGCAAATGGTGACACATGATAAAAACAGAAATCCTATATTTTTTAGAGAATACGGGGACTATCTACTCATCGGTTATGCCGCTTGACGAATTCTCGTCTTTGTTTTATTCTTCCATCGGCTTATTCTTCCCTTACCCGCTTCTTTCTCTTTTTATTCTTTCATAGTATTTATTTAATTTATGCTGAGTAAATTACGTATAGGGATATATATATGATCATTGCTAGTATTGTTTATGACAAGCTGGAGGGGATTAATGAACATGTAATGACAAAATATTTAGAGAAATATACAACAACAACAACAAAGAAACAACATATTGAATGGTCTTTTTAAATTTATATTCTGATGAATACCAAGGCTGCCAGTACTACTACTAATACTACTACTACTGATACTATCATCCTCATTCATTAATTTTATTACTAATAGTGAGCTAAATTTTGGAATTCTTAATATTCGTTTTTCTCGCTCTCTCTCTCCGTCGCTTGTTGTTGTTATTGTTGTTTATTGTTTATGGAAAACAGGAAGTTATGCATGAATTTAAAAGGCAGTGATATAGTTAATTAAACGAGCGTATGTGTATGTGAGGACTATACATGAATGCTTTAGTTTTAGGATATATATATTAACAGAGAAGCTGGCATTGTTGACACGATGAATACTGAGTAAAATGTGCAACACTTGAAAACGTTGAATGGTTAACTGTTTTCAGGAAAATATTTTCATCAGGGAAGTCACCGATTCTTGAGCATCAAATAAACTTAAAACAACTGGACAAATATTCCCTATCGTTAAGAAATTCACATGAAGCTATTGTTTCAAGACTGCATCTTTAACAAACAAACAAACAAACACACACACACACCCAATCTCGTTCCGAATTGCTATATTACGCTTCATCAGTAAACCAGTTGGCTATGCTTCACTTATCTTACTTGAAGGCATGCATCATAAAAGCTCCAGCTGCGTTCGCGAAACAGTTACCCAATCACATTCATTACTTTTATTTTGATTACTGAGGTAACGTCGAAATCTTCAGTCCGTCCACGTTTCTCTTTACTGACCGCAGACATGGCCTCTTGACTTTTCCGTCTCGGTGTCAATCATTTTATTATTCGCATCTGGTGTTTTTTTTTTAATTTTCCATACCCGCCTCGCTTTAATTTTCATAGGCAAACGTTTTAATCTCAGTCGTAGTAGCATTTTCAATGCAGAGTTTTAGGCGAATGGAAAGAGTGTATTTATATGGAGGAAATTTTGTCGCGTCGAATAATTCTAGATATCACAGGAAGGGTGATGGTAGATTCCTTTCTTTTCTATTATGTTCACTGACATAAATTTGATAAAACGGTATTCTGAGCATGTTTAAAATCATAAGCAAACTTTTGATAGCTATGCAAATGTTCTTCCCTAGGAAAAAACTAATACTGAATTACTCTCCTGATCGTAGATTCAGAATGTGTCTACGAGTTTGTCCGTTGCTTTTACAACTGTGGTGAGTCTAGTACTCACAAAGGACATAAACAAACTAAAATACTGAATCTATCCAACTTTTTGAATAGTAATTTTAAAGACAATTGAGTAGTCTAACCAGGTAACGCTTTTCTAATTGTAAGAAAGTTAACCACCCTATACACTGAACAGTTTCTTATGTCTGAACACACTTCATATTCATCGTAAAGTTATGCTGAAAAGTGGTTGCAATAACAAAATCATACGTTAAAAATACTACTGGGTATTTTTCACGCGCAGAAAAATAATAAAATAACCTCACCACAATTCTGTTGAATATTTCTGTGGTGTTTGATGAGAGACACTTAGTGATTTTAAGAATTATGAACACAAACCAGTTGAAAAGATAATCAACTGCTTTATGCTTTTAAGCTTTTTTATAACAATTAAGTAAAGAGATGGTTGAAAAGTAACGATCTGATAAACTGTAGGTAATGACGATTGATTACACTATAGTTTATACCATAGTAAACATAGAGAAATAAAAAAGTTGAAATGATGGAGAGGATTTATAGCTCTCATGTGGTATAGCTTCTTCCTCTGAGCCATATGCTTCTATAGAGACACTATTACTGCCTTCCTAGATAGCTTATCCAGAACTAACTTCATTCTGACGTAGTCTTAAAGTTTCATTGAAAGACAGATTTGAATAACCAAGTTATGATGGAAAGCTGCAAATTTCAGTAGCGAACACAAATTTCTGTATCTTGACTTTTGACAGTTTCACAAAAACGTAGCCCCTGAAAAGAAAAACAAAACATCCACCAAAAATTGTTATGTCTAATCGTAGCAACTAAAAACCGAAGACTTCGAGACACGGAGTCAAGTTTAAATGATAAGCATGTAATTAGGTCAAGAGGAAAAGGTACCGTAAATTATGTATCAATGAAAGTTGGAACATTATTTAGCATCTTTAAAAACAAATTTGTGCTTTTTATTCTCCATTTTGTTTACTTAAAACATTGAACTCTGTGTAGCCACTTTCATCTGTTAGTGATGAAATTCTCTGCATGCTTGTTTAACGCTTCAAAATGATTAACTTTTGGGGTGGATACAATAAGACTTTAACGGCTTTGGTATTTTCTGTGTTATGCAGAACTATAAGGTTGTTGGTCTTCAATGAAAGTGTGGCTGCAGTGAAATTTGTTTATTCAATGGATATAGAATGATCGTAGCTAATACAAATGAAGTCAGCATAAAATAGATCAACACATCTAAATATATCCTCTCACTTGATGTCATTTTTAAACGTCTGATTTGGCAACACTACTACACTTTATTTTACCTATATTCCATAGTGTGCACTAATTCTGGCAACTTATATTCACTTTTAAAATGTTACATAATGTTGACCAAGTGATATTTGGCTTACACAATGATAAAGCATTTCTTAGAAAGAAAACACCTGTATACAAATATATGCTTCAGTATTCAATAAAGCTCATGACCTTAATTAACAGAGAGTAACCAGTGAATGGTTTTTGTGTTTACCTAGTCGTATCTAAACTTATCGATAATGAAGGTTTTAATGCCCAAATTGTAAGTAAAACAGTGTGCTAAAAATTATTCACCAGATCATGAGAAAGTTCATCATCTCATAGCACTCAATTAATTGCATTTAACTCAAAAATCAGTCTATATATCTTAATTCTATTTCTGCGTATACCTTCTTCTACTCTGTTACCAAGCTTGAAGTGAACCAATCTCTTAAGTGTAATTGAAAAACATGAGTGTTAGCAGAATAGGGCATTATTTACCCAGTGGTGATGCAATCCTTTTTTCCAACTGAATACAGCATCTCCAGATTTCAATAAATTTGTTTGAATTCATTTATCATTTTAATTGTGACTGAAAGAAGTTAATGTTCTTCACACTCTACGCGTTGATTATAAGCCGTCTCCTCTTTAGACATGATATTATTATGTTAAGTGAGATTAAAACGTGAATCTTTAACAAGGCAAGCTGGATAGAAATTCTTCATAGAATGATAGACTTTATGAAGGTATTGTTACTCAACTTGTCTTCTTATTTATTGGTCGACTTTGTTAGACGTTGAGAAATGCTTTTTTTCTCTTTACGTCAACCACAGGTTAGCGTCAGTAGTTGTGTGACAACTGTTAACCAATTACTCCTTGTCAACGCGAAAAACGTATGTTCAACCCTTTTTTATAATTTGTTTTTTTGTATTGTTCAGGTTGTAAGGCATTTGAGAAGAATCCGCAAAATAATAAAACACGAGCTCATACGCTCTTGTCTCATTTATTATTTTCGCTTTGTTCAAATTTACTAGTGGGAAGAATTGTACTAAACTGTATCCTGATAAACGTTGGTGCTTCGGTTACTTTTAATCAATACAAAAAGCATAACAGCTTATTCCATTATTAGCATCTATTTTGCTTGTTTTTTAAGAAAAAATTTCATTTCTGATAATCAAGCAGACCACACCTTGTGGCCTGCGTATTCTTGGTTTCTAAAGGAAACTAGGGTGAACTCTCCTCACCTTCGATTGTGTAAATAAAGTATAATTATATTTCAATAGTTTACACACAATGATA